GTGTTCTTCCAGCGCATAATTATTAAAAAATTGAGGAAAACCTATATGAAGTTAGATAAATTTTTTTATTGATGACACTTCAAGCTCGTCAATATCTACCTAGTAAAGAAAAAAAATCTATTGACAAACAGGGTAGAATAGTTTATGTAACTTCCATACAAAATTCAAATGAAATCGTAAATTCTTAAAACGATTCAATTTTTTTTGTTTTACCTTTGGGAGTAGCGAATTTTCCTCCTTAAATGGTCCCATTTAAATTGATAAGGAATCAATATTCGATTCACAATCCGTGTAAGTACGACTTACGAAGTTATTCGTCCGATTATATATTATTGGAAAAACTATTTAAAATTATTATTCATCCGAATATTACCGGTTTGTGATCAATCACTACGACTTTCTAATATAAAAACAGAATTCCAACATTTGTGTACATAAGGGTAATTCTTTTTGGATAAAAACTGTACCTAGTAGTCGCGTAGAAGTAGTACCTATACTTAATTTTAGTATTAAACATGAATCACTTAATTTTATCGAAGCACGGGCATGTGATCGACAAACAAATAACATCGATTTTATTCGCTTTTGATTTAAATGAAAGTTCTCAATTACCTATCCAGGTACTTATATCACATATCGATATTAAAATCGATTCGGTAAGTTTGAAACAAATGCCCTTTTGTGACTGTATTTAACTATACTTTCAGGCAATAATAGGTAGGTATCTAATACCTATTGAAATTAGTAACTCGTGTTGGTAATGTAGAAATTGAACAACATCGTCCGTAATATTACAAACATAAAATATAAAGCAGTTCCTATAATCTCTTCTAACATCTAGGGTAGTTACTTTTTGCCGGTAATTACCGTTTTTACCGTTTAGGCGTTACGGCCTATCATTTACTAAACTTTTTATAATATGGTTTCTAGAATAGGTACTTTATTTTATTCTTATCCGATTAATCTCTTTTCTTTTGCGTTTGGTCAGATTTTTTTTTATTAATGCGAGACAAAGCAAAATGCAGAACATGTCATTCAGTATCAATATATTAATATCTCGAGGGAAACATTTAATACTTCGGGATGAACTCACTCACTCCTACTACAACATGTTAAAATCTCTAATATTTAGTATATTTTTTGAGGAAAACCATGGCATTTCAAAAATGTCAAAAATCTTTGCCTTTCCCGTGACTATGTTTCAGGTCTAAAACATTCAAAACGTCTGAAACAAAAATTAAAATAAAACATAAACAATTTAGCAAATATGCAATACTTTCGTAGTTTTTATAACCTAAAAATTTCTAATAATCCATATTCTTGTTATATTTAGAAACTAGGCTGTTGACACAATTCAACTTCGATCAATAATACCGGTCATTAGACGATGATTGCATACTAGCATAGTAGAGGAAGAGCCCGTGAACGCCAGACCTTCGTCATTTTATAAAGGCTGAAAGTTTGTCAGCGCATGCTCCCAACACAGATAAGAACGATGGACCATTATGAAGTTCAGGCTATGGTGGCTTTGGCAGGTACACGGTACTAAAGGTGTGTAAAACACCGATCTAAATTCGTCAAATAATAAAGTGTGATTTTTCGGTATTACCTTCAGAATATTATTAGAAATCACGTCATTCAATGCCAGACACTTAACATCGTGGCAAACCCTTGCCAGACACCCTTTTCATGAAATCATAATTCTACTTACGTTATAGTATAAACGCTGATTTTTATATATACCTAATACTTGGGTAATAATTAGATGATTTATAAGACTGCTAGCATAGCACTTATTACACACCATGAAAAATGTTCCAAACAAGTTTAGTAAGGGAGTTAGTAAGGGAGACGTTTCTAAGAAAATGTTGCAAATGGTCACCAAATTTGAAGTGCTAAGAATTGACTTTTTTTTTGATGGTTCCCAGACACAGTCAGACGAAAATTCTAAAAACTATAAACCGCCCTCTGTATCGATAATAATGAATATTTCAATAAGATTTTCCAAAAAAATATTTAATGTATATAAAAAATTATATGTATAGACAAAAGAAAAGAATTTTAATCTTTGGAAGTTGTTTTGAAAATGACGACTCATCGTAAAAAGCTTTCCTTTTAGTTTTAAAACCGCATTTCCGCCTGTCTGCGTACAAAAGATGACTCATTACGGACTTTGAAGGGGGTGCATTACATTATCTTGCAATGCAGTATATTGTGGATCGATATGGTTGCAACAATATATTTAGTAATTCTATTTAACGTAAAATATTTTGTTCTTCTTTTCAATCAATTTATGTTTTAGTTTTAAAATACTAAAACTCTTTTGAAGAATTTTATTGTAAGTCTCGTTTTAAGAAATCAAATGAGTTCAAACTCGAACATTGCTCTAGTAGCTTTGAACAGATCCATAGCCCAATCCAGGCTTCTATCATCAGATTAGTTTGATGATATTAAATAACGGTATTTTCATCCGAATTTTACATTCCTACAAAGTTTTAAATCGATTCGATATCGAAAAGGTTCCATTATCGTCGTGTAATTAGAACTGTTAAAATCGAATCTTTGTTCGTCCTAATTCTTGCAACTTAATGCCAAAATTAACTCGTGGATGTCAGATGCTTTTCAATTAATTGAATACAATCTATTATTTCCATTAGAATACGGTCTCTTATTTAACAATTACTCGTTTATTGGAATCTTTAGCCTTTAACTGACTTTATCAAGTGAGGTGCTGTAAATAGACCAGTTTTAATACAAATTTTGATTGAGACACTTTGCTGGTTGCGTCCTTTTTATTTCCAAAACCTCAAAAAAAATTGTTAAAAATAACATCTTTAATAGGTACACAATTTTCCAACACTCCATATAAAATTTCTTTTCATACACTACTTTATGCTCGTACTCGCTTCAATGTACTTACTTCATACTTGTACATACCATATTTTTATATTTTCCCGAATGAAAGTCAAGCACAATTCTCATAGGGATCGAGTGAATCAGTTAAGGCTTTTCCACTCTCGACTACAGAATATATGTTTTTTTATATTATCTCTTGTTATGTTACAGTACTTATGTTTTATATTATTTTTACTTATAACTTTGTTCTTTATGCAGTGCCATATTTTGTATTTCGGTATTTCTTTAAGTAGGTACCTACCTATTCCATTACAATAAAAACTTAAATTGTCATGATCTAGGAAATAAAAGATGCCTATTAACATACTTCATAGTAATACAGTTTAAATCTAATTTCTACTGTGCATATATTTAGATTAACCAAAAAACAATGTCCATACAATCAAAACAATTATGTAGCTATCGTGGGTGACTCGAATACCATGCCGGGTTGGTAATCGATTGTCTCCCATCTAGAAAAAATCATCCTTTATTCACGTAAAAAACAAAATAGTTTGTGTAATGGAGTGTCACCCATCGATCACAGGTTTCATATGGGTGTCACTTTCTAACAGATGGCAAGGCAAGAAAGGAATGGAAATTTTTGTTTTTATTTTTAGTTCGCATGTCAGAAACGTACGAGTGTTATCAGTCCTGTTAAGCTACCAGTGAAAGGTTAACAATCAATCCAAACATACGTGGGATTTTGTTCATTGTTCAATTTCACTTCACTACTAACTTTTTTTTGTGAAACTGAATTGAGCAGCATAATCGAGGTTTTAACAACTATTTAGCTACAAAATCCTGTGTGTGTTTCGATTGATTCTGCTAACCTTTCACTGCTATCTTAACAGAGCTTATGTTATCCCTAATCAATAACCGAGGCAGACTCCCACCGCCAACCTACGCCATAAAATCAAATCCAACATAAAAAAAATCTGATTCTTCAAATCTAATATTACCAAAATTCATAACAAAAAGATGTCCCTTTTATGTAAGTTATAAGATAGCTAAAAATCGTATTTTTCTGAGCAATAGCCTTTGATCTTTCGTTGAAATAGAGATTATGTAAACATTTCATGCCATTGGGGACGTAATTACTATTGGCAGCGATAGAAATAGGAACTGATCTTTAGTCTTGACATAATAAATATTTATTAATTTTCTTTTTTGTATATATAATTAAATATATTTGTAATTTTCTTTATTGTAAATAAAATATTAAAGCCAAAAAAAAATTATATAGAATTTTCATCAATAATAATTTTTCTCTTTTAATGGACTTCAAAACGAGGAAGAGCAACTCCTTTGGCGTATATATTTTTTAAGTCGTGGCGTCTTTAAGTAGGTACCTATATATATAGTTATACATATACACAGGTATATAGTAGATGCTGAAGTTTTATCAAATATCTAGAACAATTTGATTGCCATACATAATATATAAAACTAGCGGCTCACCCTCGCTTCGCTCGGGTTCGTCGCTAGGATTTAAATAGATATTAATAGTTATTAGCCAGCGTTAATCATATAAATCTTAATTTTTTTTTTCGTTATTTTTCTGGTGTTTTAATACTTATTAACCTATTCCAGACTAAGAGAAATCCAAAAATTCAAATATCATAAAAATTGTTTCACCCATTCTTGAGTTTTATGTCACGTCAGACGGGAACCGGTCGAACGGGATAAAAAGTATCCTATGTCCGTCTCCTGGTTCTAAGCTACCTCCCCACCAATTTTCAGCCAAATCGGTTCAGCCGTTCTTGAGTTATAAATAGTGTAACTAACACGACTTTCTTTTATATATATAGACATATATAACCTAAAAATTTATATTATAAAAAAGTATAAGTATAACGATTTTTTTTCATATAATTATTATTATAAATTATTTCTTTCGCTGCAATCTAAGATTATGTAAGTAGTGCTTGCTGTTCCTCTTATTTTTTCTGAAGATCCTAATACTTCTTTTCAAATTTCAAAATCTCCAGACTCTTTTGTGATAGAAAGACGATGGGAACTAAGTAAATAGATAATAAACAGTCAGTGAGTCGAGTGTAGTGAAGTGTCTCGCGGCATCGCGACGGGGGCGCTGGAGGAGTAAGATGGAACATGATCGCCGGCATTACAAATATAGGTGAGTTCTATAAAAAAAAATACATGTATTTTTATAAAATTATCGAATTACTATTATAACACCTCCAGGTAAATTTCTAAGAAATTAAATAAAATTCTAAGAAATCTATTGTTAGCTGACACGCCGGCGTGTCCGCGGTCGTGGATTAAAGGCGAAAGTTTGTATGTGTGTATGTCTGTTACTCTTCCACGCACAAACATATACACAACACACAAATAGACTGGGGTAGCATATGGACTACCTACTGTCAGGCTGCTAGGTACGCCGACCCGAGGGAGGTCTAACTTCTAAGCTAAACTAAGTCTAAGTTGAAGCTAAGTCGCTCTTATTTTCATAATTCTAAAATTCATTATTAATATTATTATTCTAAAGTCTAAAATTCACTCGTCACTGACAAACAATGAGCTTACAAACGTTAAATTATCCAAACAAGGGTTCCTTATGTAACGAAGGATAGCACTAAGAAAGGCGAATTGAAAATTAATCCCTTAAATAGCACATTGTATGTATCTTCGTCATCTTTAAAGTTAGGATTATGGAAATATAATATGTAAAAGCTCCTGTTCATACAATGGACAGAATCCCACCGGGTTCCGTGTTATATTATTATTAGAGCAGATATAATATCTTTAAGTGTTTTAGCAAGTACATTGAACAACTGGCCTTAAAGGTTAAAAAAAATAAAGCAAAGAAGTAACAAACATACTAACTTTTAGCCTTTATAATAATAATTCAGATTCTAAAGCGAACTATTTATGAAATAATTAGTTTCCTCCTTACATGATGGCGTTCGTTGAAACTGACAGCATGTTAGCAATCTGTATCCCGCAGATTGCCTATCAAATAATAATATTATCTTTGATGTATGTAGTTTCGCCAGCGCAAGACATGGGTGATAAATGAAGTATAGGTACATATTTGTATAGTTATTTATACTAATATTATAAAGAGGAAAGATTTTTTGTTTGTTTGTTTGTACTGAATAAGCTTCGAAACTAATGAACCGATTTAGATCAAAATTTGGCAAAAAGATAGTTTGAGACCCTGGAAAGGATATAGGATAGTTTTAATCCCGGAAATCATTCCTTAAGAGGGTGAAAATGGGGATGAAGGTTTGTATGGGGAAGCAACCTAGGGGCAAACCCATCCGAAGCGAGGATGAATCGCTAGTATTCTATAGTTATATTAGGCAATGGTAGCCCAGTGAAGTGGTAGAAACAGAGTGAAGCGGAACACCGGATGTCACACTTCTGAAATTCTCATGTGCGAATCATTTCCAACATGATTTACCATTTACTTGACGGTGTAAGAAAACATCGCTGGGAATCCTGTATGTCTAAGAAAACGAAACCTAGAAAATTTTCGAAAGACATGCGAAGTCCGCCAACCCGCACTTAGCTAATTTTGGACTATGGCCTGATCCCCCCAATCTTCAACGCGGGGAAGATGGTGTCTAAAGTGGTACGTAAAAGTACCTTGAGTAAATACTTATATCTTTAGTTTTTTCATAAATAAACTTTATGAAAAGCCATTTCTATTTAATAATAAATTATAATTAAGAGCAAGTATTGTGGTCTGAGAGAAAAGTTTACTAATTACGAAACTTCGTAATATCTTTCAAATTTAAATTGAATCAAAACACAAAATTTACTTTAGATAGTGTTTATAAAATGAAATATTTACGAACAACACATGTTAAAGTCGTCCAACCATGAATGGCCCTCAGGAAAAGGGTGAGACAAGTAACAAAATGAAAGCAGACAAAACGCACAGAGTAATTTAATAATAACAACTACTTATTAAATAATATTTTGATTATTTAATAAGTAGTTGTGTAATATATATATACATGTATGTATTTGACGACACGTTTGGCTCAGTTGGTAGTGACCCTACTTGCTGTGCCAGCGGTCGCGGGTTCGAGTCCCGCCGGGGGCAGTCATTGGTGTGATGAGCATGAATGTTGTTATATAATATATATATATATATATATATATATATATATATATATATATATATATATATATATATATATATATATATATATATATATATTGGCTAATCAGAGTGAGACTGGCCGCCGTGAATGAAATTAGTTAGGCTATTAATATTATATACATAAAAATAAGTAGGTTCTAGTGTTCGTCCAGTACTTGTAATTCAATCATAGTCATAATTGAAAATTAAAAAAAAACATATATGAATAGAATTTAACTGTATATATAAAAAAGTAACTAATTCCAAAAAAATTAATTGATAACAATTTTTTTAATAAAACAACATTTAAGATACCAGTTTTTTATTGATAAATCTCGTCCATAACTACTAAATAAAAAAAAATCGCTTTACAAACAGAGGAGAAATAGGTACTATACGGTTTTATCTTTGCCTATTTAAATATAGATTATATATAAGTACCTATATAAAATATATTATTATCGAAATTGTTTTCTTAATATACATATCTAATAATAAGAACGAAGCCTTTTCCCCTTTGTCTCTGTTACAACTACTCTACATCATCTCTACAGTCGATAGAGACATATTCTGAGCCACTCTAGGATGGTTATTCGCATGAATAATAACGTTTAGAACTAGTTTGCGGCTTCTGATAGACTGCCTTTGGCTTTTCAAATTGGCGTACTTCATCTAGGGTCTTGACGGATACGCTTATGCTAAAGAGATTCCAATAATTTCTGCCGTGACTGTATCCGCGGGTTTTCTTATTGTTGCTTTGTTCAATTTTCTTGCACAGCGCCATCTTTTGATATGTTTAGAAACAAAATGTTCTTGCTATACATTAATGTAGAACTTGCATACATTACGGGACAATAAACGTTTTTTTTTTAACATTGGAAAATGCATTTACACAAACTACCTACATGTGGTTATGTGGGACTCACCGTCTAGAAAAGCCAGTAAGTACTACGCACTAAAACCAAACGGAGTCACCTCCATCTTAACAAGGCATCGCAAGATCACTTACCCACTAAACCAAGATAACCAAGGTGCTCCGACGACAGTCTGCCAGAGCAGACCATAATAACCATAGGGTTGATCCCTGATCCCTCAGCCCACTTTGTTGTTAGAGAAGTATCTGGAGCAATCTGCCTGGTACACCGCCCACTGGAGTGGGCCATTTGCGGAGATATAAAATAATCAGGGCAGACATAACCGCGACACGAATCTAGTCGCAATCGTAGAACCTGGGTGGAGTTAGAATTGCTTTTAAAGTAATTTTGAAGACACTGAACTCTCAAAATTTAAAGTCTTAAAAGTCTTTAAAGACTTAGGACAAGCAATATTCTCAGTATAATTAAAAAGTTTCACTTTAGTCTGTTGAACTATTTTAAATCTTGATGCGATAAAAGAGGTACATAAAAATATTAAAAAATAAAAACGTTTTTTCTTTATTAGTGGTCAAGGATTTGAACTCTCAACCATGTACATCGTATACATGCCGTATTCTTTACGATAAGTTTTTTTATATGTAAAGTACACTATATTATATAAAAAACTAATAAAAATAAAGTTCGTTTAAAAGCTACGTTTTCGTAAAATTAAATAACATACCGTTTTGCGACAATACAAACCCACTCATATCGAAATAACAATCAATAATTGCTGTCGCAGATAGCTGAGACCATTCGGATCATGTAGAGCGCTGTGATACAGCAATAAAAATTTTATTGCTCAGTGATCCAGCTATGACAATGTACGCCATAAAATAGTAATAGACACGGATGAAGGTTACGGGCCTATTCACTTATTTATATACATTCTTATATAGGTTGTTTATTAATTTGTTACTTACTAGATTTACACGTGTCTCTAAGAAACTTTTAGAACCACTAAACCACTGTACTAGAACTAATGCACCGGAAAATTATTTATATAATTATTAATATACGTTTTAGCGTTTAGAATATATGTATCAGAGATGAGATATTTTCTCGTAGTAAAAAGTATCCTATATATTGACTCGGACAACCAGCTATCATCATACCAAATTTCATCAAAATCTGTCCAGTGATTTTCTCGTGATGCGTTCACAAACACACAAAAATTCTAAAAACTATAGATTCGGTCTTTATATCAATAATAATGACTATTTTAATTAGATTTTCCAAAAAATGTTTAATGACTCAGAATTTTACTATTATACGAGTATGTATAGATTATAATTAAACTAACCAACACCCTTTCAAGTTATATTTTAATTAATTATAGTTTTAAAAATTATGAAAAAACATGTATTAACTTCTTTTCTTTGTTTCTCTTTCATAGATATAAAAAAGATTTCTATAAAGATTTATTCGGGCGAGACATTAATTTTAATATTATGTCATAAATCAATTTGAAGCTAAATAAATCGCTTGAATTTTGAACTGAAAGCATAATCAGTATCTACAAGAGAAAACCCACAGGCCGCATAAATAATTTTGTTTACAGAAGCGGTATAGCCAGTGGGATCGAGTCTACGTATTGATTTTACCGACAAACCAGTACTTAGTGTGCGGAAGCTGTGTGGGTTGCCTTAGCGATTGGCTAGCTATCGATGAATAAATGAAGATAGTCTAGATCTCACTTGGATATTATACCGCGCTATTTGCTTGTAGATATCGTATTGCTATTTTAAATTAATAAATAACGATTTGTATTTTCATAGTGATAAATTCAATATGGAGACCTACCCGTAGGTTAGCCAGACTAGATAGTTTTGATACTTAGCTCCACCCAGTAAAAGTAGCGTTAGTGTAACAAACACACATATTCACTTGAGTGTTTATAGTATTAATTATGTAAATTGTGTCAGTTTGAATGAAATTTTATGGTATCTTAGATGTCAGCTGCGAGTGCAAGCGCGCAGGTCAACATCTTCTAAATTGCATTCTGTGCAACGAAATGTATTTCCAGCGACATCGTAAAGTTTAGTTCGAATTATATATTTGACCCCCAAATGTATGGAATAAACAAAGAGACGTTTTGGAAAATATTGT